ATCTTAGGAATGTTCCGATAAAAAGTGCATAATACGTTCAAAAAGATTTTAAACATGTGATATGTAGATTCCAAAAGAAACAAATCGAGAACAATCCGTTTCCGGTGGAACGAATGACGTTTATTATTAATTGACCGAAATTTTAACACATTTTTGATGTGTTCCAGACCATTTTTCTCTTAGAACTATTCTACATTATATATTAACGAATAACAAGCGATCTAATATTTTAACAAAATCATACATATCGAAGGATAAAATTGAATGTGCGTATATGTATTGAAAATTGTGTTATATAGGTATATGTATCCATATTATAGGAGATGGCAATATGTATCAAATGAAATTGTGTAGTGAAAAATAGTGAATGCGTATGACTTCGATCTGACAGTGCTAAACAATACATATTTTCTCTCTCTCTCTCTCTCTCTCTCTCTCTCTCTCTCTCTCTCTCTATTTTATAATCTGTACCTAATTTCAGATAAAAGCTATAAGACAGCGTGACTATTTACATTACGATTAATAAGTGTAATGCAAAAGTTAACTTCCCTCCCATTTTCAATGCACCGGACTAGATACATTTTTGATTAATCGTAATATAAAAAGTAGATCGTAGTAGATAATACGAGTCACTGAGTATCACAATGTTCTCTCGGTCTATATTATATAGTATTGACTTGGAGGAGTTTCCTGCAAGACACTGATCGAATGCGTGTAAGAAAACAGGTAAATTGACAGCAATTTTTTCTTTAGATATAAAATACCGTTGCGTATGTAATCAGCATGCAACACATTTACGATTATGAAACTCAGTTACTCTGTCTGTGACAATTTAAGTTGCGTCGTACATTAAATTATTCGGTTTATTAATCGGTGAGATGATAGCGCTATTAAGATAGATCCGCACAGTAAATCGATTAATTAACTACTTATCAGGTATAAACAGTTACATATTACAATGTTTGATACAAGATAAGTTATAATGCAGAAGTATTTCCTATGAAAGAAAGAGAATATTGTTTCCGATTTGTCAAGCTTCTTGAAAATCCGTTAACAAGTTGTTACAGTTTAGCGTGTATAATTATCGTATATCTAATTCCAAGATATTAAAAAATGCGCTATGTCTTAAGGCAATAGTGTTTCCCTTCTCTCGATTTTTCAATGCTAGTTTTACACATTTGTCATGTTCTTTCGTCTTCGTTCATATTACATTCATTTTCTGCAAATTAGAAAATATTGAAAACACTCTGTGTATTTCAAGAAAGAACACTGTGTTGAGAACATATAAGCGTTTGTGTATATTCAGGAATCTGAAAGTATTTTCGAAACTTCTGTATAGTTGTCCATGTTTTTTTTTTTAATTACATATATGTATATATGCATATCTTATTGTATAAGTTGCAGCCAGGAGAAAGTTGTTAATTTTATGCAGAGAGAAAGAAATAATTGTATTATTGTATACGGCTTATTAAAACCATATATAACAAGGTTAACCTTCCGCTGGTAACATGAATTTTAATTTTTTCGTCAGCAATGAGCATTTTCGAGAAACAGAATAAATTTTGTATTATATAAAAATCTAAAAAAAAATTCTGGTATACTTGTCAAAACGAGTTTTTATCGTAGAAGTATTTTATTTATTTTTTTTACAGATTTAAATTTGTCTACCAAAATTCACAATCAAATATCGATACTTTTAAATTGCCCATCGAAAAGATAGTAAATATAATATATATATAAATATATATTATTGTTTGCTGATTTTGAATCTATTCACAATTTTTACCTGAATTGTATGAACAGATTTTATCTAAAAATATAAACGACAGAAATAGTCTGATTAAACATATGAAAATATTTATATATTTGCTATTTAAATAACTCTAACTTAATCTTTTTATATTATATAAAGAATAAAAATGCTAAACCGTGTATGTTATTAATATGTGCCAGAAAATTATACAATTTCTTTCACAATAAAAGATTAATTCTATATATATCACAATAATGATAAATAAAAAATTGTATAGATATAATCGATTATTGTATAGACTTAATCGATATAAATGTCATATATATGCATGTGTTGCATCATGTGTAAACTCATTATGCGTAAATATGCAATATAGACATTACTAATAGCATCGAATAATAATAGAATGTTATATTTTAATCATTTATATTGCTTCAGAAAGCGTAAATATCTCACTCACTCAAAGCTAAATGTGGATTCGCACAAAGATATCATGCTAAGCTTGTATTTTCTAATCTTAAAGTCACAAGCTTCGATTGGTAGACGAGAAAAAATAAATTTTTCATAACCATTGTCCTCAAAATGGTGTAGAAATATATATAGATAAATCTAATGATAACGGAAAATACACAAATATTACTTTTTAGCCATTCATTGATGCACTACTAAAAGATTTTACATTATAATTAAAAAATCAAACATATCGTTACATATTGTCTGTTATCTGTTAATGCGTCGAATAACAAACGCTAGGGGCTGTAATGTAGACAACATGAATTCAATATGAAGTCATTTCAATATTATTCTCAACGTACCAGCGTATATATATTGGCCCCATCGCCATTTTTAAGGCAAAAGTTAAATAAGTTATTTGTCGATAATACCCTATGGAGTGAGGAATATTCCATTCCTTACCCCATTTCTATTTCCAATTTTTAAAGTTTTTAACATTCAAAAACAATATACAAGAGAACAATATAATAAATATTATAATTTTAACTATTAGAAATTTGTTCGGGAAGTGACAAGATATTTCTCAAACAACTGCCCAGGAAAAAATGTTTCATATACATAATTATATAAACTTATATATAAAATTATATATAATTATATAAAAAATTGACATATTTTATATTACAATATATATAAAATATGTCCATATATATAACATTTTTACCTGGGTGTTCTCAAATCTTTGTTTCCGAATTGTGGGCCGCACCGTTTTCTGCAATTTGCTATACGGTAAGTATTAAAAATATAACAAAAAGTGAACATAATTCTCACTGGACGTGTGTGATACTTAAACTTCAATTCACATCTCGTAAAAAATATGTGCACTCTCTTGTTAATAAGTAAAAAGAAAAATATATTAGAAACTTATAATAAATTTCACTCTTATTTTAGCTGCGGTGATTTGTGTCCTACAATCTTATTGCGCAATAAATTAAAGTGTCCGTGCACCTGCGTAAGCTGAGCTCTAAGTGAATCAGAAAGCTGTTTTTGTAACTGCTGAACCTCCAAAATTTCTTGACGAAGATTTTGATAATCTTTCGTAACCTGATGGACAGAGTGTAATAGGCGAAGCACAGATATCTGGGAAGCACAAAATGAAAAGCGGTTTGATGATTGAGGATCCGAAAACATGGCAGACAATAAAGTGCATACGAATAATTCACGAACGTGATGTCACACAGGACATATTTAATGCTAAATAATATGGATCATCCTGGCTTCAAGCAGGAATTATCCAACGAACGAAATATAACATTGTTAATTTATTCAGTAAACTGTCACAGAGGACTGTACAAATGACATAATATGTTCATCTTTTCAGTTGTACTTTTTACATTATTTTCTCTCTATTTTTATCTATTGTTTCGTAAACTTAAAATATACAAACTCTATTCCAGATCAAATGTCAACTTTACTTTAACAATTCAAATTTACTTTCGCTAACAATGGCTGTGTTTAACAGAGAAAACAGCTTTGCCATTGTTGTAAAATTCAATACGATTGGTTCTTGCTTTTTCCTTATAGATCTAAACATATAAACCTATCATATTAAAGAATTTTATAACAGTTGCAAAGCTGCTTTCTTTGCTAAACACAGCCAATAAACAATTTTTGGACTTCAATCTTTAAATTAAGGCCTGGTTTTTCATTATCTGGTTAACTTGTGGGGTGAACTTGATGTTTTATCAAATAGGCTTCATCTATGATATGGACAAAACCCATTGGGTGAAACATCAGGTTAAGCTTAACCATAAGTTAACCAGGGATGTTTTTTCGTTATCCAACCTGAAGCTACCACAGTAGACTATTTTCGTCTTCAGTGATTAGAAGATGAAGATAGTCTTAGCCGTGGTTGTTTCTGGTTGCATAACAAAAAAACACCACAGATAACCAGGCTTAAAAGACATGAAAAATTAATAATTAATCTCCTGGAGTATGATAGCCTGTATACTTATTTCGTATTGAACAAATTGAGCAAAGTACAGCTAAAAAGAATAGGCTCAATGTGATCTGATAATCGCTACTGATTAAAGCGGAAAAACAAACTCGTACCTCGTCTTCTGGCTCCTCAAAGGCCTTCTCGAATTCGTCTATCTGCCACGCAATCATGTCTAGCTTCCCGTCAGCTTTCTGCACCTGTGACACGAGAAAATAAAGTAAATTTAACAACGCAAGCAATGTTTGACGTTTCGTGAATATCCAATGCTGACAATTTATATTGTCAGATCGAAACGCAAAAATACTCACGCTTTCCTCGAGATTCCCGATCGCGGATTCCATATCACGTTCCCTCCTTCAACGTAACTAGCGCCTTTCGAGATTGAGAAAATAATCCTGGAGTGTCCAACAAGATAGCCGTTCTTGCACCAGGATCAACCGGGATCGATTAGCTTGTCGCGTTTGAAAAGCTCAGGACAATTCGCCTCGCCACAATTCACCGGTCACTGTCACTGGTCACACTGTCGAACTGTCGAGTCGAATAGTTGCGAATAGTCGCCCGCCAGACGGCGGCAGCACCGTCCGGCATAAAATAAAAATAATTGAAATTTCTCCGCAACTTATTGATAATACAGGCACATAAGTTATCGGCCGTTAATGTTTTATCAAAATGCAGCTTTATCTTCCTTGGATAAAGTTTTATTAATTATCAACATTAGTTTGGTTTTCGAGTCACAAGATAGCATTGTAAATTGACTGCCATCTCAATTTTCAACAATTTTAACCACTTCAGAGAGTTCGGAGCAGTCGGAGCATTTCGAAGAGAAACTGTCATCACATTATCGCAAATGCACATTTATAAGAATTTTTGTCTTTAGACTTAAAAAAAAAATAGAGATAATCCGAAACCACAATCGCTAACCTGGTGCAAATTAGTATTTAAGAAATGTATAAATCGAATCAAGAACCAGATATACCAGCAGCACTAGGTTTATTGTCTCATCTTGATAATGACGAATTGAAGGAATTATTAAATAATGATGGGAAATTCGAAGATATCGTGAAAGATATAAAACAGGTAGGATAGCAACGCAGAGAATACTAATTCCAATTAAGTACCAAATGCAGCTGAAAGAAATGTAGTTTGAAGCTCACATTGGATTCCTAAACATGTACCTTTTCCTTTGAAAGTAAAATTCTTCATACTCGTTACAATTAAATCTATAAAACATCTCAAGAATAGGGACTCATTAAAAAAAATGTTAGTTCAAGGATCTTGAGACCGAAAAGGAGATGTTAATGGCTAGCAACAGATCTTTAGCTGAATTTAACCTATCCAAGCAACCTGAATTGGAAGAAGGTAAACAAGTTTTAAAGGAATTAAGTGAACAGGCTAACCAATTGTGCTCCAGTGTCAGGGATAAAATAGACGAAATGCGTAAGTTATCCTATGTATGTATACTACTGCTCTAAAGTTTGGAACACACTATAATTTTTAGAAAAAAAATACTATTCTTTACAGACATTATTTTATTGAAGCAATATAAACTTTTTGCAATGTTAATAAATAAAATTAATTGTACTTTCTTTTCAAAATTTAAAGATGCCCAAACTTTTGAACAGTGATATATTTAATAACTTTAACAGAAAAGAAAGATTCGTTCTTAAA